AACCCCCTGGAATCCCCTCGCATGCCCTCGGTATCAACTTTGAAGAGCATGAGGCGCTGAATACCGAGGAAGACGGCCCCCTACAAGAGCTCGATCTTGGGGCGATTGGATTACAACCCGAACCTGGATTCTCCTGGGCAGATGACGTTGAGGAAAAGCTCCCTCTCCCGAACGAATCTGATGACGAAGGCTGCGACAGTATGCCCGAGTTGATAGATGTGGACCCCGAAATGGAAAGTGAGGAATTTCGGGTACCTCACGTAGTCCGCAGCTGGAATACCCGATACATGCCTCTGGGGGACCCGGTAATAAAGGCCCAAGAGGCACACCTAGACGCGGTCGGACTAGTTCTGGGATACCCCGGAGACAACGACTTTCCACGCTTGCGGCTCCCCAAGGACGATCATTTCTACGACGAACGATTCTCAATCCTTCGCATCTCTGAAGGAGAGTGCGCCGTCGTAGATAAATGGTACCCGAAGCGTGTACCGTTGGTGATGGATGCTAAGAAATTGATTAGTACCACCCAAGCGGTGTCCTATTCTTACGCGCTCCTCTGCTGTGAGAACTATGGATTTTCCAAAGCCGAGGCGGATTATTGCCGCAAGGCCCTACCCATTGAAGATATTTATGCTGAGGCCGGGAGGATACATTTAGAGAGCTGGGTCCCTTATCTAGGAGACAAAGACATAAATGTCTTCAGCCAGTATGGGAGATTCTCTGTTCAACCCTCGCCAAAAAACCCCGCGACCTACACGATCCAAGATAAATATCGGGCCTTTACGTGTGAGATCCCTAGGACTCACCTTCGGAATCCCATGTTTGATCTGCCTAATTGGTATACCAAGAAGTTAGCTACTAAAACTCTTGAGTTCTTCCACGCGCTGGACGTGATACACAACGAAACTGACCTAAAGGATCTATTCGAGCCACCCGATAAGGTATTGGTCGTGGGGGAATCCCCGAACCAATACTGTTTATGGTACCGAAGTGCTTGCTTTGGAAACACGGCCCAAACTGACGACGAACACCTGTTATGGATACGGAAAGTCCGTCGTTGCCGATTTGATGCCACCGGACCTATGCCCACAGTTATTGAGCTCAACGGTCAACAGGTCAAAAGAGGAACATATCCTGCCTTGCAACGGAATGCTTCAATAACCCGGGACCCATCAAGAGCAGTCCCGAAGCCGCTAGTGGTAACTGTTAAGGTGAATGGTCACCCAGCCCGCGCTTTGATCGATTCTGGATCCCTCGGCGACTTCCTATCGACCACCTTAGTGGATCAACTGGGGCTGAAGAAAGTGCAATTAAGCACCCCCTTGGCGTTGCAGCTGGCCGTTCAAGGCTCTAGATCCCGAATTAATTATGGATGCCGAGCGACCCTCGAATATCAAAATTCTAACAGTGAGAGGTACTTCGACGTCGCCAACATTGCTAATTATGACATTATCCTTGGTACGCCCTGGATGTTTCAACATTTAGTAACTATTGGCATTAACCCACCTCGTGTGGTTGTAGGATCGACTCACGCAGTTCCCCTTAAAGGTCCTGAGGTCACGAAGCTCTCCTCGCGATCGATGCAGGTGGTAGAAGATAATCTTGAGAAAGCTCGGGAACATCTTCGTGAGTACGCCTTACCCCTATGCAAGAAAGCCACTGACACTCTGTTACCCCCGCTTCGCGCGATCAACCATACAATACCTTTAATCGACCCGGACAGGATATACTCCTGGCGCCCTTCCCGCTGTCCAGACCCCCTCCGCGAGCAATGGAACGATAAATGGAGGGCGTACACCGCCTCTGGACGATGGCAAGTGACCAATTCCGGGAATACTGTACCCATGTTGTTGATATACAAACCAGGCACCACGCTATTGTGTTGCGTCTTCGACCTTCGCGAAAGGAATGCCAACACCAGCAAAATGACATCGCCGCTGCCCGATATCGAAGGCATTCTTCGTCAAGTCGCCAAGCACAAGTATGTGACTTCGCTGGACGGTTGTGACGCTTATGAACAAATCCGAATAGTTCCTGAGCACGTTAATCGTATGGCCGTTACTACTCCTAACGGGAATATGATCAGCTTAGTTCTCCAACAGGGCGATTGTAATGGACCTGCTACGTACCAAGCATTAATGAACCACATATTCTCCGCTTTCATTGGCGTCTTCATGGATGTATATTTGGATGATATATATATCTATTCGAACACCCTGGACGAACATATCAAACATGTTAAATCAGTGATTGATATATTAAAACGAGAGCTCCTGTACCTTTCTGAGAAGAAAATGAGGTTCTTAGTGAGCGAACTAAGTGTTTTGGGACACGTCGTAGATCAAGACGGCATTCGGATGGACTCCAACAAGGTTGACTCCATTGTAAACTGGAAGACACCCACTAACCGCGACCTGCTGTGTGGTTTCCTTGGCGCAGTTGGTTATCTCGCGGACAATATGGAAGGTGTGCGTATCCCGATGGGTGTGCTATCGTCGTTAACGGGCGATCGTGTGTCGTTCCGCTGGGAATTCACCCATCAGCGCGCGTTCGAAGACATTAAGCAAAAGCTACAAACATGGAGGGACCATCACAGAACGCCGCTAACTTATGGTCCAGAAGCAGAACCCATCTGGTTGATAACGGATGGGTGCGCTACTGGGATCTCCGGCGTGGTGGCACAGGGCAATGCGTGGCAACAAGCCCGCATAGCTGCCTTCTATTCTGCGAAGCTTAACGCTGCTCAGCAGAATTACCCGGTCCATGAAATTGAAATGTTAGCGGGTGTCGAATCGATGTTGCGACATAGAGACATACTACAAGGATGTCACTTCCAGTGGCTGACCGACCACAAGGGACTCGTCCACCTATTGCGTCAGAAAAACCTGTCCGGGCGACAGGCGCGATGGATGGAAAAGATTTGCGAGTTCGATTTCGAGCCGGTCTATATCCCTGGTGTGGAGAATGTCCTTAGTGACGCCCTGTCGCGCATCTATTCAAACGAGGCGAGTGGCATCCAACGCGCAAGGAGTGAATATACCTACCACGATGTAGTGGATGGGAACGAGCAGACGCTTGACGTGGCATCGGTTCCCATCCTCGTGGGACTGGAAGCAAAAATGGCCTCGCGCCCTCGTGCCTCTAAGGAGGACATAAGTAGGAAGCGCACAGGCGAAGCGCCCAGGGTTGAGTCCAGCGCTGACTTTGCAAAACGGATGGCTACAAAACGTTTCGTGCTCCACGGCCCTGGAGAACGAAAGGAGGGTGGGATCATGAGGAAAGAACAACCTTTGCAAAAGCTCACTATCACCCTACCCGCTAAACAGGCTGGACAAACAACCAGTACTGCGTACTCCGAGTTAGGACCCACACGCACAAATAAGGACAAAGCGGCAGTGCTTCCTAGTTCAGAGGGTCCCACGTTAGAAAAACCTCAATTCCCCGCTCCCACCATAATGGACATTGTGAACACCTACTCCAATGGTATTAACATTACCAACAAGATAAAAGGAAGATATAACGAAGACACCGTCTTTCGAAGCATAGTCGCGAAATCCAAGGAATACCGCAACTTCGAATTAGACAACGATCTGCTCTACCTCAAAAAAGCAGGGCGCAACGTACTTTGCATTCTGCATGTGCTAGTACAAGGACGAAACATCAGAGAAATCATCATAGCCGAAGCCCACAGTCTTTTGGCCCACTTGGGAGCCAAAAAGACCCTAGACTATCTCAGGGAACATGTGTGGTGGAAGCAGATGGTGAGTGACGTTCACAATTACTGCGATACCTGCATGACCTGTCGAAGAAGTAAACCTAATAATCAAAAACCCTACGGCCTCCTCCATCCTCTCCCCGTCGCTTCCAGACCATGGGAAGCAATAGGAATGGATTTCGTAGGACCTCTCCCCGAGTCTAGGGACCGAGACGCTGCGTATGACTCGATAACTGTTGTTATTGACCTTCTAACGGCCATGGTCCACTTAATCCCAGGACGAACAAACTACACGGCTATGCACGTGGCCGAACTGGTGTTCGCCGAAATATACAAACTACATGGACTACCTCGCGCGATTATCAGCGACCGAGACGTCCTCTTCACCAGTCGGTTCTGGAAACGATTGCATCAGCTTATCGGAACGGAACTTCGAATGTCGACAGCATACCACCCACAGTCTGATGGGTCCACCGAGAGGGCGAACCGAACGATCACCCAGCTGCTGCGCCAGTGCATTAATCCCAACCAACGAGATTGGGTATTGAAGCTGCCCGCTATTGAGTTCGCCATCAACTTAGCGCGCTCCGACAGTACTGGGTTCTCCCCCTTCTTCCTAAACTCCGGCAGAATGCCCCGGTCCATGCTATGGGACTCCCCCAAACCAGATGAGTTCCCCGGAGTACGGACCTTCACCGAGCGAATTCGAACGGCCACCCTAGCCGCTCACGATGCTATCCTTGCAGCCCGCGTGAAGCAAACAAGGGACGCCAACCAACACCGGAGGAAAGCCCCTTTTGAAACAGGGGACTTGGTATATCTCTCGACAGAAAATATCAAATTCCCCAAAGGGCTAGTTCGAAAGTTCCTGCCTAAGTTTATTGGTCCCTACAAGATATTGAAGAATCACGAGAACGAGGCCTTCACGATCGAACTCCCCTCTCGCTTGAAGCAAAGAGGAATCCACGACCAGTTCCACGCTTCCCTCCTTTGAATCCATGTTCCGAACGATGATCGACTATTTCCCAGACGCCTGGACACCCAGATCTTTGAGGTCGAGGATCCCGATCCAGAGTGGGCCGTCGAAGAGATTATATCTCACTCCGGATCCCGCGAAAACTCTATTTTCGAAGTCGCGTGGAAGTCTGGCGACATTACCTGGCTTCCATATGATAAAGTCGCTCATCTACAGGCGCTTCAATCATGCCTAGATATTTTGGGTTGTTCTGCCGTAGCTGAGCTACCTCCTGGCTCAGGGTCACCCCCTAATGATCCACAAATCAGCATGTCCTTGATATTCATACCTTCCCCTTTGCCCTATTTGAGTCCCTTTTATGAAGACCCTCCTTCCCGTTCGCTCCCCCGCTCCCGCGACCCCCCCAAAATTACCCAACCTGCCAGAACCAGCACTCACCGTCGCTCTCCCTCGTTTGACCTTTCAGACCACCCCGTCCTCCTTCACATCATGACCGAACTCGAAGAAGGATTTGCCACTGTAACCGTTGACGCCTTGGGTAGCCCTGGCGAGGACTCCCTTGACATCGCCGATGAGGGCGTGATGTCCTCTACCCCTCCTAATCCCGCTCCCGCTGAACAACCCCCGGCCAGCGCCCCCAACGCGCCAGCCCCAAAAGTCGCGCAGGATAATCAGGTCATTCCCACTGCCACCGCTCTCTCTCGTGACCAGAACTTCCCCCGTCGAGACCCCTCTCCTCACCCTAATCTCCAATTCGTGCGCGCCGTCGACAACATGCCGTACTCATATGAATTCACCAACCCCTTGTCCGGCGTTAAAATCATCGCCACTATTACGGACGTTTGGTGTGTCCACATCGTCGCCGGCCACCTTCGCTCCGGCAAGCACCTCGAGTTCTACAAGAACAACTACAGTGATCTGTACTACAGCATCGTTAAATGCTTGAATCAGGAACCTTACCTCCTCGAACGAAACTGTCAGCTCCCTATGATCACCGAGGATGGTCTAGTCCTCAGGCTCGGCAACCACAATCCCAGCGCCTTCATCCTTGGGTTATTACCCCTTAACCCCGCCAAGGGTAGCGCCGCGAAGCAGGAAGTAATGGCGCATCCCATTCCTCGCCACTCCAAAAAGCTTAAAGGGCCCGCTCCGATCGACGACCCTCCTGCTCGTCGACCCGTACACCCTGAGGACCCCTATTCCCAACTCTACGACCTAGAGCCGTCCCTCCTCTTCCAGAGTGTTGTATCACTTGCTCGCTCCAACAATCAAGAACTTCAGGAGCTCTGAGCCTCCAAGGAACGTTCCCGGGTGAAGCACGCTGAGCGCATCTCCCGTCGTGACAACCCTCTCGCGGAGTCGTCTCGAGGCCCCAGCCGCCGCTCTCGACTTCACTCCAAGCCCATCTTCGTTGACCAGTCCCACCTCCGCGATGAAGACGACCACTCCATGAACGTCGATTAAATAAAAGTTCCCTTCCCCCTTGAACGACGGCCTCCTTCGTTTTATTTCTTTCTTTTGGCCGTCTTTCCCCTTTTTATTTTCGAACAAGCTTTACTTGTCCGAGAGGGCGTATGTGACAACTCGGTTCCCGATATGGATATCCCCTCTCCCCTGTTTCAGTGTCCCTATTCCTACCCACATGCTTTGAACTCTCGTTCCTCCCTTTCCCAGTTATTCCGCATGGACTCATAGTCTGTTTGTATCTATTATGGTCTCTCGATAGTTACAGTATAAATACCTGGGTTGTACGTAGGTATAGGGCAGAGTCCCCAGAAATACGAACGGTTAATCCTTTCAACTTGACGGACTGACTCTACCCCCCTTTTTTCCCGTGTACGTGACCGTTACCGCAACGCTCCGCGTTACACTGGAGAGACGCCGTCAACGTCATGAAGCTTTTGAACTGGTTTGAAAGCAGTAAAAGCCGACTGTTCACGCCTGTTACCGAAATTCGGCCTTAACAACGAAGGTGGTGCGTCAATATGAAGGACGAAGGGGGAATGGGGGATTGGGTGGGGGTGGAGCAGTCTTGCGCGTCAGGCTCGATGCTCGATTCGAGCTACGCTCTGAGGTTCGCCGTCTTCTTCTTTCTCAGGTATCGCGCTTCGTCTCTAACCCTTCGTGTGTTCCATCTAGGTCTCCCTTCTCTGACCTCTCTGCCAATGCTCGGAGTTCGACAGCATTGACAGCGTCTACGTCTGGCTTAATCTCCACGGTACGTTCTCCTTTGTTCTCCTCCGACATTCGTACCATATTCAACTTCTCCTCTGTGCCCTTTTTACGCCTGCCCTCCCTCTCATCCCTTGTTCTCTCCTTCCTCTGTCCTTGCTGCTCTTCGTTCTCGTTGTCTTCCTCGTTCTCGTACACTCTCTCCCTCTCCCTCAGTTTCGCAGATCGAACGCCTTACCCAGCATTGACATCCCCATCATACCCGCACACCAGTGTCATCTACGCTACCCGGACTCAGGCGAGCCTATACGCCCACTTCCCCACCTTGAACACGTACTCACACAGTTCACTGACACCTCACACCGCGTCCAGCGCCGTCGCGACTCGCTGCAAACGCAAACGCAAACGCACTCGTACCCGGGGGAGGGGCGAGCACGCAGCTCCACACCTGCACTGGCACTGCAGGAGCGTGGATATATTGGGACGTGGGTGCGGACGTGGTGGATGTGGATGTGGATTCGGGGCGACGTGAGGCGAAGCGAGTGTCTCTGACGTCGCGTCGCCTTACGTTTCGTTCGTGCATCTCTCCCTCCTCCCCCTCGTTCTGTATCTCCCCGTTCTCGTTCGCATTGTCTCCCCGTTCAAGCGCCCTCCATATCGTTCGCCAGCTTCACGAGCTACGGGCGCTGCGAGTAGCGCCACAGCGTCTCCGCGCTGAATGTCGGCCCGTGTTGCTCCCGCGCCAGAACATGTGTTCATCCGTCTTGTTCGCCCACGGCGGGTCGTTCGAGCGCGGGTGGATGTCGTCCACCCATGAGATGAGGCTCGGGAGCTGGAAGTTGTGGTGGACCATCGTGTTGCAGTACGTCGCCTGCGCGGACATGGGGGACTGCGCGTGGGGCGTCGTTGGGGGTGAGGCAGGAGTTGCGCGTGCGAGAAGAGGAGGGGCGGTCTGTGGCAGAGGTCCATCGCGTGGCGGTGGCCGTGTATGAAGGTCTTTTCTTTGCGCGGGGCGGCCGGGTTTAGGACCCTTGCTATTCTAGTGCGCTGGGAGGGTCGATGGAGGGTGTTTCCATGATGGCTCAGGCATGTCGCTGCCTGCGGGAACAGGTGAGTCTGGCCTAATGTTTGAGCATCATGATCATGCTTACCTGTACCCTTTCACCTCGTTCTCTCGATTCCTGACACGCCGCAAGTCAAGTTCGCCCGTCGTGGTGATGGCGGCTTTGTTTGATGATCACATCGTATCGACGAGGGAGGCTCTGGAGTTCGTATGTCAGGAGAAACGAGGGCGAGGAGAAGACGAAATTTGTACACACCTTATACGCTGATTGCCTGCCCAGCCAGGATAAGTTCGTGCCTCTGCGCGTTTGGTTGGCGGCGAGAGGACTTGAAGGCGGCGCTATGGCGCTCGAACCAATACCACGTGAGCGATCGAAGTTTGCTCCGTTCCGTTGTGTAATTCCGGACTTACTACTCAACTGCTCATCGACCAGTCGACCACCTCGATTCTTCATTCTCATGTACACTGTCGTAATTGACTCGCAATGTTGACCCTATCTAGATGACTGATCAGTCCGATGGCCGAAGATCTAATGGATTGAATGGAGCACCAGTACGTACACTACTTACATTTCTACTAGTCCCGTACTCAAGTTCATTCCAGCCAACGCCCGACGACGCTCCGAAACACCGAAGAACGACGGTACCCATAAGCGCAGAGGACCGTACCCGGCCATTGCAACGTCGCCAGCCAGCACTCTACTCGCGCGCAAAGGCCGTACAGAGGCGGCAGCTCCCATTCCACACCCATCCAACAGAACGAGCTGCAAGATATGCGCCAGAGAGACACACACCAACGAGAGGAACATAATCACAGTCATCTCGTTAACAGGGTCAATGCTCCTCTGGCAGCGGCACGTCAAAGGAGAGAGGGACGGGCGGGCTTAGCGACGGAGGGGAGAGGATGGTTGGATGCTCGCGAATGGAACAAGGTCAATGGTAACCAAACGACACTGGCCAGCAGCGCAAGGTGAGCAACACTTCACGTGCGTGGATATGGAACAACTCACCAATGTATTGCTTTCCCAGCGCCAGACCTAGCGTATCCCGATGCTCCGATACGGCGCCTTCCCGCGCGTTGCGCCATCCCCCCGCCCAAGGGACTGCAAACGCCTCACCCCGCCCAGTTGCCCAACGACGACACGCAGTGAGATTCCGCCGTAGCGATCGCGCGCGCTGGTGAAGGGGCTGGCGATCCCTTGGTTATGCTACTTCCCGTTACGCAAGGGCGGTGCACATCTGGTCGCAGAGTTGCTGCCGTCGAAGACGTGCGAGGCTCTTGAGGCCTTGAGGACGCTCAATGGCGTCACCTTCGACGGGGAACAAGAGAGGGCGACGTGGGTTTGTAGTAGGCTGTTGGTAGTCGGTGGTAGCTGTTTTGAGGGTCAAGTGAGAGAGTTGCGTCGGATTGGGTGTTGGGACGTGGCGTGGGCGTGCTGCAGTGCGTGAGGTGAGGGGAAGTCGGAGTGGCTGAGTGAGGACGGGGATGTATGCGGGAGCGAGAGGGAGGAAATGGAGGGACAAACAGAGGGGCAGATTGGCAGGGTTGCGTTGCGTTGACAGACGATCGTGTGTGCGAGGGGAAGGGGAGTTGTGAGAGGAAGGGAGAAAGGGTGGATTGGCAGAGTCGAGTTGCGTAGGCGCGTGTGTGAGGGGACGTGAATGAGAAAGGGCGTTGACGTGGTGTTGGTGCTTAGCGTTAGCCGTCCGCGGACCATCAGGGATGTTGCGCCCTTCTTCTCCGTGTTCACCTCCCCCAAACATGTTACTCCAGCCTCTCAGGACCTTTGGGCGCTGCCTCAAACTGTGACTCTGCCTATGGGTGCTTGCTGGAGGGGCTCGTGGCATCGTCTTTGTTCCGCCAGCGTTGGTAGTCCCAGTAGGCGGCCGCACGCCGACCTCCTGCATCTGTACCTGTTTCGGTTTGATAGTAGCAGCCGCAGAAGCAACTGGTGACATAGGCTGGGTAGGCGAGCTAGGCATCGTAGCGGGACTTAAGGGCACCGGGAGGCCAGCATCACTCGCCCTTGGTTGAGGATGAGTTTGGAAGGTAGGTGATGTGGGCGACGGCACGGGTTGAACCGGAGGTAGCATCATACGACAGGCCGGAATAATGTGATGTCTCCGGACCTGGGCAGTGCGCGCCCACGTTGGCATCCACACCCACCTCCCCTCGCGTCGTCACCCGTCCTCGTCAGCATCCAACGTGGATCTGCGCGCACTCGCGCGGGAGCCTAGGGCGCATCGAGGCTGGGCACTGAGTACTGCGGTCTCGTCGTTAGCTTAATGCTCGACGCTTGAAGTGGAGACGCACGCACGCATCTTCGTTGGTCCCGACCATTCTGTGATTTGGTCGTTTGGTCGTTCGGCCGTCGGGATCAGAATCCCGCACCACGCGACTCGGCTCGCAACGCGCGTTCGTTGGCGTGCCACGAGCCGGGTTCTGCGTTCAGTGTTCTGTGTGCGTGAGTTTGCGCTGGGGATGTTTGCATTCTACGTCGTGCGTCGTGAGTTGATGAGTTGGGCAGGTGGCGTGGTGGCGCTGGTATTTTGGAGGTGAGTTTGCGTTGCATTGGGGATGGTGCGTGTGCGTCGGGTGACGTGTAGCCGTGTCAGCTCCAGACGAACGCAGACGAGGGCCTGCACAGTGGAAACCCGTTCAGGTCAGCGCAAACGCATGACGAGCGAAAACGAGGTGGGTGCGTACCTCGTTTCTTTTCCTTTGTTCTCTCGTTCTTGTTCTCGTTTTCCCATTTGCTTCCTTCGTTTCCCCCGCAGTGTCGTGTTGAGGATTATTTTTTTCGAGGGCGTGGGTGCTGACTGTGGAGATTGAAGAGTGTGTCGGCGCCGGCTTGGGCGTCAGGACGCGTTGGAGGGCCGTGGGCTGCGTTCGCGGCGTGCTTGGGAGTTGGATGCGTGTTGGGGCGCGTGGCAAGGTCGTGGTGCGCTCTGGGCCGCGTTCACGGTGTGCTTGGCGGGCGGGGAGGTGGGTAGGAGTTAGCGACAAGTGTAGCGTCTGAGTGATCAAGTGCGTGAGTAAGGTGAGCAGCGAGCTAACGAGGTGCTCACCGACGTGGTAGCCAATCATGGACTGTCTGGAGGTTGGCAGTTGAAGTTTGGCGGTTGGTTGATAGCGTTTGGCCTTGGCATCTTCGCTTCGCCGCCGCCGTTAACAGCATCGTCTCCTCATTGCTGCTGATGTGGTCGTTCGCGTAGCCTGTTCCCGAGGACCCATGCCCGCACGTCCGCGCGTCCTCGATGTCGTCTGCACATCCCCCTTTGTATGCACACTCAGTCCATGTTCGCTCGGTCAGTGACATCGACGCACCTCCGTATTCTGCGTTCCTTTGATCCCATCTTTGTCTAACCCTAAACTTCCCCAAGGGTATCATTTCCAGGACGAATCGTCGTCAACAAGGGTGGGTAACCTAATACAACAACGGCGGCGATGGCAAGTCATTCACCACATGCACACTCGCGTTGAAGTTCCCCATAAGCTGCCTTTCTGCCGCCCACTCCTTGATCTTATCAAAGTCGCGACATCGGTGGACAACATCGCCGCGCGGAAACGACTGCCCGGCCTCGTCATCCCATTTCCAGACGATAAGGCTGACGTCCGCCGAACACATGAGGGACTGGCGGATCGAGTCGAGGTAGTGGCTCATATGAGCTTGGTTTCCCGGGAGAGAAAGGCGCATGTCGGGGTAGTGGTCTGCATAAAGCGTTTTGCGTATGCGATTATGGCATGGTGAAACGGCGGTAGGTAGAAAGCCATTTACGATAGCGAATCAAGTACTCACTAGGCAGTGAAGTTCATGGAAGACGTCGAGTTCGACAATGTAGTTGTCTTCGTCCCCTGGTATGGCCTCCGTTGCATTTGGGAGCCGCTTGGCCTGGGAGGTAGGGATGCGTGATATACCCACTAGAGTCGGGGTGAAATCGCTGAGAAATTAGTGCGGATGGTGGTTTCACGTACAGTTGTAAAGGTCCTCCCAAAGGTCATCGAGTTCCTTTGAGGATGGGACTTGGAAGGGAGAGACATTGCGTCCAAAGCCGTTAAAGAAACGGTGGTACTTGTACGAAATAGCCTCATTCGCGGGAGCTAGCGGGGGAATTGACCTTGGGATGTGAATAGGGTAGAGAGAGAACAAGCACATACAGAAAAGACTGTTCTCTTCAGGTAAATCCGTACGCCAGACGAGTACGCCGATAGTGACGAACTGAAGGAGGACGATACACCAAAGGACTATGGGCGAATTGATGATTCGAGTGCACCATCGTGAAATACAGTATTCGTCACGGCTGCGGCGATGCTGCTCGCCCAATCCTAGTAACTGTTCCTGAAGGTAGTCCCCATGCTCGATGTTGACACGATCGTCGAATACGGTCAGTCCGTCGTTGGAGGCCAGCTTACTGTACGACATCTTTCGCCGTATCCGTCGTAATCTGCGTAGTTTGGGCCGTCCTAGAAATCAGGAAGATGGAGGTCTCGCGGGCCTGACATCGGTGGGAATTCGTGAAGCTCCAACTGCCTTGTCAGTACAGCTGAGTACAATGGGGGTACAAGAGGCCTTGAAGCATGCTATTAGGGGATGCATGGTATTTGATGGCTCTCGATGATCCATTACGATAGCCACATTAGCATTCATAAGATAAGAGACGCAAACATGCCGGCACGACGAGGCGTATGTGCTGGAATCTTTGAGCAAGATAGCAAGCAGGCGTGAAGCAAAGCGGTAGCGAGAGCAGCATCGTCACTGCAGGTAGGACAACGCCCTTCCGATCTAGTACGCAATCGGCGTAGGAGGTGGAGGGACGAGCGCTGAGAATCGAATGGTCAGCTCCGTCAGGAAACGTAATATAGCCTATTCCATGGCCAGAGGAGAGCACGATCAACCGGGGTCAGAAATCTGCAATTGGGACGAGAAGCATGAGCAAACGCGAGATTCAAATACGCACTCTATTGACTCTATTTCGCCGTCGCTACATCATATAGGCTCTATCAACCTTGTACTCGAAACCCAGATGTCGTCCTGGAGAGTTCTTGCTCTAAGCATGCCCTTGTCCGAAGACCACTATAGAATTGTCCGCGTAGCTTGTTGATCTGAGGAATCTGAGGATAGCTGTCGTGTCCTGCGATCATCATTTTCGGAGGACGTACCATGGGCCAGGCAGTGTATTGATACTCCCAAACACCACGTATGCCCTCCTTGTTAGAGACATGCGCCGATGCAGCATATAGCTCGTTTTCGTGCCAATTTTGTGACTTCCGTCAAAGTGCATGAAACGTAGAGACGCCGTCGAGAAACCAAGGACCATTCATGTACGCACACTATTAGGATGCGCATATACGATTTGCCTCCCCTTCGCTAGAGTATGGGTACTCGGGAGGCACGTTGTAGAACTATATCATCCCGAAATTCATTGTCAGGAACAACGGATATCGATTCTCATATACTGATATACACAGGGACAAAAAGACTAGAATCGAAAAGACCGTCAACTTCGTTATGGTTCTGCACACGATCCGGGCACTCACAATGAACACTGTCAACCGCTGAATATCCCAGTAACCTCCGCTACTTTGACGACTTTCCCTGATTTTTCTTGGCAGTCGAACTCTGGCTCCCAACCTGATCAACCATACCGATCCCTTCCTTGTTCCCTGTCGCATCTTTGGACGGCTTTTCCATGTGTTGTGGAGACACGGCGTCGACGGGGTTGTTCAATTTTTCTCGGGCTTCTTTACCAGCGTTCTTAGACTGCTTTAGTGGATCTACGAACCGTCAACGATGAGCATAGTTGGGTGGATGTATGCGTACTTTTTGACGAAGCTCCAGAACTCATGAATCGAGCAAATGAGGCCCTGGTGAAGGCGCTCGGGAAGACGACGCAGCGAACTGGGATTATTGGAGACATGGTGGTGGTTTGAGTTTGAGGGAAGCAACGGCTGTAACATGTCGGGGTGTCTTTGGAGTGGACGTCATGGTGGCACTGTGAACTGGGCGCTTCCGTTGTCGGCTCCAACATCCCAGGTATTACAATCTCCGAAGCAACTCCGAGACTTCCACGCGCACCACGGTTACTTCTCAGTCCAGATACTTGCTGGAGAGCTAGAGAAGACATTCCCAGATGGAAGCAGACACGGTTACTGTATACGAAGAGACCGACGCCACCGAGACGGCTCCACTCTCCTCTCGCACTTGAACGCTGTGCTTTCGACTTGACTAACACGCAACCCCTGCCATAAACCACCAATGGCAACTCTGTATAACACCGGGTCCGAAATACCTCCAGCGCACAGAGTACATCATTTTGGACGTACAATCATCGGTCTATACCCAACGGCAAACACGCGGATAGAGGTTATACCGACACATTATCATATCATACGAAAATACGATAGTACCCGATATAGTCCGCAATCTTTGCATAATCGCGAACACATTTGCGGATTACAGTCAACATGGACTGAGAGCGTATGCAAGAGGGAACGCCGCCACCAGATATTGGACCTGAATAGTTGTAGTGGCAATGCAATGGGTAGGCACGCGCTCACAGTGATGAGGTTCAAGAACTCACTGGCACCAAAGGTCGCTGAACAGGATAAGAGGCGAATCAGGGTCTACTGTCGATACACCCTTCGCCCAATCACGACGCCACGCCTCGTTCTTCTGGCACCTCCACCGAACTACCCGAGTTGTCCCGTCCCTCGCATCACGCGTGCACCTCACATCATCCATCATCGCCTCGAAACACTCCAATCCTGGCAATTCCTCAAAGATATCCGCGACCGTGCACTTCTCCTTGCCCGTGACGCAGTTCCCCCACACAAGCAGCAAGCGCAGGTTCTGGAAGTTCCTGCGTTTGGATCTGTCCTCGTAGCGCAGGCGGAAGAAGAACCATCCCAGATCGACGCCGCGCTCGTGCTTAGACGCTTCATCCATAATCGCGGTGACGAACCAAGAGTGACTTTGCAACCAAGGTGTTCGTTTTGGCTGGTCTATCGGTGCCTGTCCTCTTTGATCAGACGTCTTAGGGTCGAGCGGGCGATACGACGCGAAATGGAACCCATACAATTGAAAACTGAGCACTAAATACGACAGCGCTCGTAACTGCACGCAATCATTCATCACAAGCCCTCCTGAATCGAGTGTCCAGTCAAATCAATGAGGCTTCGGCCTGCGGGTGCCCACGACCGTATACTCAATCTTCCCGGTATCTGACCGCTCGGGGTCCGCCCAAGCTTGCGGTAATACTTGGCGCATTGGGTCTTGCCAGGGCTGCTGTATTTCATACATAGGCGCGGCCGGGCCAGGAGGGTACACCGCTGACGGGTCCCTCCAGTCCGTCGGGAAAGGCGGCATAGGATGGCGCGTCCAATTGGGCGCAGGTGGCGTGGGGTGAGTGAGTGAGATTGAAGGGAGAGTCGGAGGATTTGATTGAGAACGCGGGGATGTCGATTGGGTGAGTGGCAGTGGAAAGACGATGGGCAGGGACGCTGGGCGGGGTGAATGCGTGTGCAAGCAACGACTGGAGGGGATACTGGACGCGGGAGGGCGTGTGATTGAGGAAGGGATGGTGGCTGAGGGCCCGAGGCCCTGGCCTCGTGTCCACGTATCGTGGCCTGACACATACAGATGTCGCGCACGATCAACGTCGTCAAGGATGTCGAAGCGGTAGAAACATTGGTGAGGGCGGGAAAGTCCGCGCCTTCGGCTTGCGTTCGAGCCCAATGGAGGGCGGTTGAGTGAAGGGAGAAAGGAGCAAATTGGCGGCTCCGAACGGGTTGAGGGCCAAAACTCTTCTACCACCCCATTCTGTGTCGACAAGCCAGGAATCCCTCGAGTCGAGCTTAAGGTGGTAGGGGCTTCAGCGATTGCGAGAAGCGAGCAGGGATCGTCGAGGAAACGACGGAGCTTGACGAGGCGGGAAACGACTGCGCGTACAAGGAAGGACAAGGACACGTCGACAGGGAGTGGGGGGAGGGAAGAATGAAATTTGAGTCATTCTATGCATTCATACTGATGTATTAGTGAAAATCGCGCCAATCAACGACACTTAGGCTGACCTGGTATACACGCTGTCCACGATCTCGATATAGTACCCCCATTCGCCGCAGACAACGCTGCGGGATCTCCATACCCCCATCCCAGCCTGCGAAGGCCGGCCACATCCCTAACCCGCATCCCCGGGTCCCACTCCGCTGTGGTTTGCTGACTGAATCCATCTTGGATGGAGAGGCGACCTTGTCGTCAATGTATACCGACGATACGCCATCAACATATTCGGTGGCGTTGAAGCCTTGCGACGAGGCGCTCCACTGACAAAGGGGCGCGGTCCCGATGCGTCTCGGTAGTGGAAGGGGGGCAAGTACGCCACGAGACCTGGTCGATTGTGCATAACGTCGACGATGGGGTGCGAGAGGGACGGGAAGGGGAGCGTGGATGCTGCTGGGGCGATAACCTGGTGGGTGGCGATGTTTCTGGACTTGCTGGGACCCACCTCCTTCAGCCCTGCGCTGTGTCGTCGTCGTCGTCGTCTACGCCAGCCCCTCGCCGTCCTACCCCTTCTTAACTTGGCCCATTCCCCACCGTCCTTGCGTCCTCGCTACTCCAGCAGGCCACGTGTCGTCGCCGTTGTTGAGTGCTGGGTGCGACACTGCGTGCTTCGGGACGACGTTATCGACGCTGAGGGTTGCAGATGGAGAAGACGCGGGGGTGCCGTAGGCGTTGTCAGGTCGTCACACGGAGTGGGTGCAAGGTAGTTGGACGGGCGCAGTGGCGTTGGGGGGATATCGTGGTGAGTGTATCTCCATTACTTTGAGACGGGTACTCACATTCTTTTCTGCTGTCTGGTCTTCTCATTGTCGACGCCAGTGCCTAGCTGGCTCTCCCTGCCTCCGACCTTCATCTATCCCCTTCCTACGCCTATGCCAACGACTGATGTTCGTCTTTCCCTCGCTCGTTCGTCTCGCGTCGGCGTGCTACTGGTGTCTCAGCGATTATCTTGCCTCGTCGTCATCGTCGTAGGCCATGTTGGCGGTATTATGGGCTCGGGAGACGTTGATGGGCTTCTGTCGGGCTGTGGGTAGGGATAGGCAGTACCATGCTATGCCCAGGTGCGTATGCCGTTGATGGTATTGTGTAGTCCCGGTACGCTGTCGTTTGGGTTCGCAGTTGCGGCGCAACGTGTTCAGGTGTAGGAAAGTGGATCCTGCGTCGTAGACGTTGCGGCTGGTGGTGTCGGAGGCTGGGGCCTCTTGCCTCGTGAACCGGGAGGCAAGTGGGTGGTGCATGGCCGGCAGTAGGGTGGACAAGGGCAGCTGGTGTTGAGGTGAGTCTGCACTGAACTGATCTTTGAGAGCCATGGGGTCGTGCTTACCCTGCAGCCGTTGCCTCAGACACGTCCTGCAATTCAAGTTCGCCGGTCTACACCATGGCGCTGTGAGGGTACTAGAGTGAGGATGTGAGGGAGGACGAGGGTCAGGAAATGGAATACTTACCTATTGGCTTACCCAACCATGCCAACTGCATTTCCCTGGCATGTGTGGTCCACGATGTCGAAGGAGAACGATGGAGGGCGGGAGTTCGCGAGTCAGTCATGCGAGAAGAAGAATATCGAGGGAGGACGATCGAGGGCGGGGCTGCCCCGCATTATTGGCGCTCAAACCAAAGCCACGTGCGCGATCGAAGTCCGCTCCGTTGCTTCCTTCAACACGCACCACGACGATAGCGAGGACAATGTAGACGGCAACGACGACGACTGGATCCCGTATCAACGCCCAACATCCCGCTGCATCCCAAACCTCGTCGAGTGCCTGCTGCCGACACTGCGGAGCACGCAGTAGGCCTTCTCCAACAGCCCGAAGACGACCAGCTCATTCGCAGCGACGGCTGCAGCGGCTGTACCACGAAGGGAGGACTAGGAGACGTGGGCGTAGGGGAAGAACTGGATCACATACCGAACCACGAGAAGCGAACGCGCCAGCGACAACTTAGGTTTGCTCACACGTCTTCCGGGACAGCACGGCTACTCACCTGCGTCTTGTGCCCACAGTCCCGGCACGCGGCCCTCACATCCATGCGCACTCCGACGCCAGCGGTATGATCAACCAAAGCAGCCACCAGCCAGCGCTGTCGGAAGAAGCAGCTGGACCAACGTACACATCGACTTGCGCGCGCAACGAGGGCGTACAAAATGGGGGTGGGGCCGAATCTCAGGATCGCAAGGGAACGAACGTACGACCAAGGGATAAGTCGAATACGTCAGTCGAAAACACCATGCCCATCCAGCACGCCCGCTACAAGTCAAGGCAGTTTGCCACCTCGCCAGCTTGCAATTACGATACAAGCGCGGGAATGGGAGATGGCGATTACAGAAGATAGAATGCGAGGGGGTTGGGAGGAGTCGCGACTACGGGATCATGGCCACCTTGTCACCGCGGCGCGTGGAACCGAAACTCCAAATACCAAGGTGCAAATGAAGCTAGCTGTGTACTCGGATCCTCTCGATCGTGCGATCACTCAGAGCTATGGTTCAGAGGCAAGTCCCGGAGGTTAGCAGCGTACCATTGACTGATCTTGGGCTTAGGTTACTTCCTGGATATGCGCTCTAGGGCCAAGGGTGTTGGAGGTGTCGTGATGGGTCCAGATGCCTCGCGTGGAGGGGCGTAGAAGACGAGACAGTGCAAATTGGGGACAAGGAGGTATGTCTAGCGAACTACACGCCTCGCGGGCTATTTCGACGTACTCACAGGTTGCTTTACAGAGTTCGTTGGGTACTGGGACGCTCTGGCGACCAGGAGACGATGATGGGTGCACGCAGCTCATCGCCTCCGCGTGTCTACATTCTAGCCCGCCCGTAAGCCGCCGACATCGAGTTCCAGCAGGCCCCATCGAATTCCTCGCTGCCCCTGGCCTCCTTGCGCAATCCGTCAACAGCTGGCGCGTCCTAAGCTCCCGTCCTACCTCCGTCTTCACACTTACGGCAGTGTTACATCCCCCTTGGTGCCCTCGCCCACAGTCGTGGTTCTCAGAGCGTGCTCGAGGGGGAATCATGCGCATATAAGGACGTTAAACGTGATTCCGGCGATGTGCGGGTATCGTTCAGCGAGTGTGGCGCACAGTCAGAGGAGGATGGTGGGACGGGAGGTCTGCAGGGGGTTAGATGGGACAGGAGGATGGAATACTACGTGCCGACTCTGACGAATGGTTCCCGTTCGCGAGGGATGACAAAGCAAAGGGTGGCGGATGGTTCCCGTCTGCGAGGGATATCAATGGACGAGACAAATCGTGACGAACGGGACACACGGGTCGTGGCTCCACGTCAAGCAGGTATGGGCGTCCACGAGGGGCGCTTAAGGCACGAACGGTTACCGTTCGTGCCACTTATGCTATCGACGGGCGCGAAGGCCACGAACGGTTCCAGTTCGGCAGGCGCATCCGTATAAACCGCAGTACACATCACGTGTGGACGGGGAGCAACCGAGCGGAGGATGGGAGAGATTGAGATTGGTGACATGGCACGAACGGTTACCGTTCGTGGGTATCACCGACTCCCGTCCGCGAGGCCCATCCACTGGTCGCGTGCGCCCTTCGACCCCCTCAAGCCCAGGGATATTCCCTCGGCGGCGTCCTCAAAGGGGGGTCGGTGACCGTTGGTGGGAGGCAGGAGGGCAGGGGACAGGCGGGTCATGGCTCCGCGTCAAGCAGGAATGCACGTCGGCAATGGGTGCGTAAGGCACGAACGGTAACCGTTCGTGCCTCTTATGCTATCAACATGGCGCAAACGGTAAACGTACGCGAGGCTCATCCACGTCTCTGCTCATTGTGTCCGCCGCCCAATCCCGGCAAGCTCTTGCTTAACCCGTTGGTGTCTTCAATATGCTAACTTGGAGGCTAATGAGGGTTCTAACAGGTATATATTAGATGGTAGTAGTATGCAATACAGTTATTACACCGTAATATGAAGTGTTTCAAGGGTTTTTTTGGGGGAGTTCGCCAATTTCTGGGCCTGCCCCCTATCTATCAAAGCTCAGCCAATGCTTGCATTGGCTGAGCTTTGATAGATAGGACTTGACC